GAGCGATGGACCAGGTTGGCCCCTCTGAAGCACCGCCACTAGACAACCTCCTTCTGTAGAGAGGTGTAGGGGCTCGACGTATTATGTATTACAACTTTCTGTCCCTTTCGCTCTAATCCTCCTACAAACTACCGACCATGTGACAATTTGGTATTATGCACCTTCCTCCCCCACAATTTCTACCATCGCCAACAAAGGTAGTACATGAACAAAAACAACAAAATGATGTTTTTTTTAATAAGTTCAGTTGCCTTGATGGAGTGTGACCTTGTCCTATATTAGGAACACCTTGGGATGGGGTTGGACAATTGCAGGCCGTAACGTGCTCCACATAACGCTCTCTCAACCTCCCGGCTTCGGCCCGAGTCGTAACGCGACTCCTCCAGACTCAACTCGAGAGTGTCTCGGGAGCTATACATAGATCCAAGGGCTCTAGCACCCTCCCCTTGAGTGTATTCTCTTTTTTTCGCAAAAAGGATCCATATTTAGTACTCCCTCCGTTCCATAATGTAGTGCCTATAGATTTTTGCAAAAGTCAAACATTATAAAATTTGACCATATTTATAGAGAAAAGTAGATACATCTAGAATACCAAATGCACATTATTGGATACATCACGAGTTCTATTTTTAGAATGTACATGTTTGGTATTGTAGATGTAGACAGTTTTCTCTATACAATTGGTCAAATTGGCAAAGTTTGACTTCCACAAAAATCTATAGGCACTACATTGTGGAATGGAGGGAGTATAAAAGTTCAACAAAAGTATAAAACACCTCAAACATAATAAAAATTACTGTCGCTGCTCCCCTACCGGAGCCGGCCTGACCTTGTCGATGACATCTGGGAAGTCTTCGTGCACGTGCCACTAAGGACTACCACCCCGGCGACGTAGTCGTTGTCGTTGAACCATTGAATAGATCAGAATTACCTGATACCAAATCTCCCCACACGATGATAAACCCTAACCTCACCACCCCAACGAGACGGCCAAAATCTACGTCGAAGCTCCGCAACTATGTCCAGACGGAAAAACTCGAGGAGGGTCAAAGCTCGAAAGAAAAAGTGGAAGAGGAAGCAACGGACCCTAAGCGCCGCACCTGCGAGGAAAAAAGTCCTAACCTAAACTACTAGCCGGAGCGGAGGCACCGAGATTCCCCTCTGCGCCACCGACCGTCGGAGCGGCAGAAAGAGGGAAGGCGCATCCACGTGCTCGTCGGCGAAGTCTGGAGGGGAGATTTTGTCGTACTCGCCAAGGGATCAAGAGACACACGCACAACTGAGCAAACCTCTTTGGCTAGATAAGATGGAGCATCCTCCTGGTAGCCCTAGCCCTGGCAAAGATGATATCTTGCCATCCTTCGGCCACCAGTTCTCCCCTTCAACGACATGATGGAATACTGCCCCATAGCTTCTTATATGGAGCTCCCACCTACATTGGCAAGGTTGACTCCCCAACATGTCTTAAACATTGCTCTTTCTTCTTCGCCAAGCAGAGCAACTTAGAAGCTAAGAAGATGGGGATAGCTTCATTCCATTGGGTGGGTGACACCCAACACAGTACAACAAATACAAGGATGCTTTTGGCCATTCACCATGGCACCAATTCATCAAGTTTGTTAACGGTACCGAATTTGGTCGAATGTGTCTCAGTAACACCCTTGTCAAACTCATCTCCTTCGAGGGCACCAGCATGGTGGTAGTCTGGTTGTCTTAAACAAGCACTTCAATGACCTACTTGGCCGGGCGATTTGCCTACCAACTAACCCAACAGGTGGTAATTTACACCACCAACCACCAGGAACCGCTTGAGATCAAAGTAAAGGTAGGGCGCCTGAATTCTCACTTGGGGGCGATGTGTTGGGCACAACTAGCTCTAGAGATGGCCGATGACCGTGGACACAAGCCATTTACCTGGGCCTTATGATGCATACCTTCTCGTCAGATCGAGCAAGAAATAGTGAATCAGTTATGCCCCTCAATATTTCTCCCCCTGCCTGAGTTGTGTAACAACCCCTTAACTAGCTGGAGTGGCACCACAAAGTTCAGTTATCCACCCCCATCCCTTCTCCTAGTCTACTCCCACAAATTAGCCACCATTTGATGTAAACCTATTATTATGCTTGTTATCACATTATATTTATTAGATTCTTAAATTGCAACCAACAGTCACTTTTTGTATTCAGTATCATTTTTCTTTTCCTTTTCAAGGAGTATTTGAAGATTGAACTAAAAGTAGTAGCTTTCATTAATTTATTTGTGTTCATTAGTAAAATTTGTATCTCTCACTGATCACTATTATGTAATTAAAAAACCATGCAAGGGAAAAAAATAAATTCTTGGAAGAGAGTAATGTGACTAATTTTCGAAAGTACCCACAAATGTTTTAGGTCATTTACATGTAATCATCTAATCTAACTGGTTTCTCAGCATTTTCTCCACCTCTTGATTTAATTATCCTCTTATATATTCTATCTCATGATCTAGAATTTTGTTAAATAAAAAATATTAATTTAGAGTTTCTAAAGTAGTGTGATGAATGCGATTAATCGATATTAAACACAACATAGGCAACCCTAAGCTGAAAACAAATATACATATGGCTGAAATATCCCTTCCATACAAATTTGCATCTAATCCACCAACCCTAAGCTGTGTACTCGAGGAAGTGAGTTTCGCGGACATGAATTAGGTCCTATTATACTGTAGTGCTTTATTATTGTTTTCCTTTAATAACAGGTATATGACCTACAAGAGCACTCGCTGCCAGAATTTAGAATTCCACCGAAATATTGGTTGGTACTAAAGTATTTTGTTTCTTGAACTTCACGCTAAGTTCAGATAGGTTCTAAAAATTCTGCTTTTAATAATATTATGACAATTGGATTATATTTTTCAAAAAGAATTCTCAAATTCCAATCTCTTCGGTGAGCATCAAAAAAATTATTTATTCACAACATTAAACCTTGACCATTTAATTATACACACAGACGTTGCACATACAACTTAATTAATTGATTGTTTTTGTTTGTTAACATTTGGAGATTCTCAGTTTGCAGAAAACGATTGATCGCTACCTGAATCACACAAAAGGGACATCTGCCAATGAGAAAACTGTTGAGCAACCAGCTGCTGGCGTTCAGGTGCAACTCCCTACCTTTCTAGTACTTACCGCAATTAATCTAGATGCTATATTACATATATTTGGCTCATTATATATGCTGTGTATGTGATGTATCGTGTATGTATACGGATGCAGATGTGTAGATCTGAAGCTACCGCCTTGAAGCACAAGATAGACGCAATTGAGGCCTACCAGAGGTGACGACGGTGACTTGCCTACTGAATCATCAACTATTCTTAGTACTTACACATGAAAACAACCAAGATTATATATATGTAACCCAATCGATCCTGGGAAGTGAATTACTAAATTGTACACGATATGAATGCACGTGCAGGAAGCTATCTGGAGAAGGATTGGGGTCCTGTTCGGCCCATGAGCTGCAAGAGCTGGAGCTGCAGCTGGAGAAGAGCCTAAGCTGCATCCGGCAAAAGAAGGCAAGCTAGCAGATCAGAATACACTAATTCGGCTCTTGTTTTCTTTTGTACCTGAATAATTACACAATGTATAACAGTATTTATCGATCTAGTTTCTCCAAATTCTAGGCTGAATCACTGATGATAACGCCTTTTGTTTCGTTTTCAAGAGCAGCAACAGAAAATGGTGGCTAAAATCTCGGAGCTGAAGGAGAAGGTATGCGTCAACATGTTCATCTGCCGTTAATTAATGTTGTTATTGCATTGAACATTATATATGTGGAGAACTTGTCACCAGTATAGCTATTTAGTTAGCAAAACCCTAAAAGAATGGTGTACGAAAATTAGCATGATCAAGATAAGTGCGTACGTGACATGATGGTTATGTATGTGTACCAATACAGGAGAGAAAGCTGTTGACGGAGAACTCGGTGCTCCGCGAGGAGTACAAGGCGCTGCCTCTGCTCGAGCTGGCCACTGCTGCTGCTGCTGAAAGATCGCCTGACGGCGCTGGAGCTGAAGAAGACGAGGAGGACGAGCGGCGGCGGCATTACATGGAAGTGGAGACCGAGCTGGTCATTGGAAGGCCCGGGTCCTCTAGCTAGCAGCAGTAGAAAATTGATTGATCAAATCTGCTCAATCGATCAGTCAGTCGATGAAGATCGATGCAAAAATCGATCAAATATGTTTGTTCATATATAAAATCGGTTTAATTAGGTCGGTGTGAGACTGGAGGATGGCGATGCAAAAAATAATTGACAGGCTGCAGCGTGCGTGCAGTGCAGGTCTTATAAAAAAAAATTGGTCGCGAGATCGATCTGCATGCATGTGCTTTTATTTTTCTATAAATCCAAATTAATTTAACCGATATATCTATGTGAAAGTTGAGCTGAATCCTGTATGTGCTGGTGGAGAGTTGTTGCGATGCCAATGCTGGATGGCTGAGTTTAGTTACACCCGCACTTTGTATACTCCCTTCGTCCCAAAATTCTTGTCTTAGATTTGCTTAGGTACGGAAGTACCTAATACTAAAATATGACTTGATATATCTGTATTTAGACAAATTTAAGACAAGAATTTTGGGACGGAAGGAGTATTAGATACTCCTATCTATGGACACACACATGATGTTGAAAAGATGTTAGAAAATAATTAATGTTGCAAAATGAAGCAGCATACCAAACAGTTTTTGTGGATCTTAGCTTATAAAGCCTCCAGGGCTAGCCCATCTAGTATGTTGATCATTAATTTTGCAGATCGTCATCATGGGTGCGTCTAGGTCTCGCTCATTGCGAAATCGACGACAGCATCGCCTCAAGCACCTTCCTAAATAGGCTGGCCCAGAACAGGAATGAGAGATCGGTCACTCGCTTGCTGGCGTGTTCCCATTTTGCAGGCGTCAGCTACCGCAAAGGCTAAATCTCGCCTACTGCAAGATATCCGCCGGCCTCGCCTACAGCGTTTGCCCTTGATGGGCCGGCCGAATAGTGTGGTTTTAGGAAGCTTCTACCTACTGTAGCGGCCTTGGGAATGATCAGATCAGTTTATTATTGTCTCATTTTTCTGTGTTTTTCTCTACTAGTCTGTATTTGTTTTCTTTCCGTTTTTATTTCTCAAATTTCATGTTTCTTATTTATGCAAACTTTTTAAATTTTTCACGAACAACTTTTTTCATAATATTAGAAACATATTTTTAATTGTGCGGACGTTTTTTAAATGCCATCATTTTTGTTGAATTGTATGAACATGTTTTCAAAACCGCGAGAACAAACTGTTACATTCAGCAAACATATTTATAAGACGCAGTTCACAAACAAAAACATAAGTAAGAAACAACTCAAGCCTCTCGCTGGAAAGAGAGAAAAATAATACATTGAAAGATCCCTACTGGGTTGGGCCACTACAGGCTGCCTTTGAGGTCACCCATCCTCCCGTGTTGTTAGAAGCGAGACATAGTGGCGCCCATCGACTACAGTGCATATCCTGTTCTGCAGGTTTTTCCTTTTTTATTTCTTTATTTATTTTATTTATATTTCTTATTTACACAACCAAACTACACATTTACGTTCGTACCGCGACAATACTTGGACAAAGGAAAGGACCAAGTCACGAGCGAAGATTCTTTTTGTGGATGATTTTGACCGACCGCCGACAGATATGTGCCTCTAAACCGCGTCGGTTTGGCCAATTTGGGAGATCTCATGCCACTTGTGTGGGTTGTCCTATCGCCATGTTCATTCATCGCAAATATAATATTAAGCGAAAAAACAGGAGCAGAGTTAGCCTACACGGGAAAAAAGAGAGGTGTAGGGCCATAGTGCGATCTTGTTTTTGAGAAAACTCTGAAATGCCTATATCAATACAGTGTGTGCCCGAATTTACTAATTTATACTCGCCATGTTCCTATTTTTTCCAAATAATTGTTTCTTTCCCAAGTCAAACTTATTTACATTTGATGACCGAGTTTTAAAAGAAGAACCGGCGTATGACGGTCATGCATGCAGACATGCAGTGGACGCACGTTGATAATAGAGCATACTCATAAGCGGTTAGATCCTATTCCACACGAACACACCATTCCGGCAAATAGACTCGTGGGGCAGAATGTATCCAGTTTTTTTTTCATTTTTCCTTTCTGTTTTGTTTTCTTTCTTTAAAATAATTCATGATTTAAAAAAGTTCCAAATTTCCCAAAAAAAAGGACTTTTTAAAAGGTTCAAGAAATCATAAATGTTCGTGCATCCAAAAAACTTTCATGATTTCAAAAAAATGTTCGTGCATTAAAAAATTCATGAATTTTTCAAAAGTATTTAGAAAAATAATAATTGAGAATGATAAACATAGTTCATCAATTTAAAAACGTTCATTAATTTTGAAAAATGTTAATGTATTTCAAAAAATGTTCACCAAACAAAAAATAATCATAAATTTAAGAAATTTTCCCAAAGTTTAAAATATTCGTTGATTCAATTTTTTTCACAATTTCCAAAAAAACATTTGCGACATAAAACAATGTTCATAGTTTCATAAAAAAATGTTCACAAAGAGGTTTGCAAAATGAAAAAAAGAAAAAGGAAAGAAAAAACCAAAATTAAAAAAAAGAATGGGAAGAGAAAGCAAATAACGAACATGAGAAAAAGCAAAAAATAGCGAAAGGAAAAAAATCCGGTCTGGGAAGGTTCTATAACTTCCCAAAACAGGGAAAGGGTTTACTTGGGTTGGCCCAAAATGTGTACGCAGCGGGAGTGCGCGCGCTGGGGGGGGGGGCTTGTACGTGCCAGGTCGCTAACAAGTGATCTACGCATCGAATTGAAGGAAATATGCCCTAGAGGCAATAATAAAGTTATTGTTTATTTCCTTATTTCATGATAAATGTTTATTATTCATGCTAGAATTGTATTAACCGGAAACATTATACATATGTGAATACATAGACAAACATATAGTCACTAGTATGCCTCTACTTGACTAGCTCATTAATCAAAGATGGTTATGTTTCCTAATCATAGACATGTGTTGTCATTTGATTAATGGGATCACATCATTAGGAGAATGATGTGATTGACATGACCCATTCCGTTAGCCTAGCACTTGATCGTTTAAGTATGTTGCTATTGCTTTTCTTCATGACTTATACATGTTCCTGTAACTATGAGATTATGCAACTCCCGTTTACTGGAGGAACACTTTGGGTGCTACCAAACATCACAACGTAACTGGGTGATTATAAAGGAGTACTACAGGTGTCTCCAAAGGTACATGTTGGGTTAGGCGTATTTCGAGATTAGGTTTTGTCACTCCGATTGTCGGAGAGGTATCTCTGGGCCCTCTCGGTAATGCACATCACTATAAGCCTTGCAAGCAATGTAGCTAATGAGTTAGTTACGGAATGATGCATTACGTAACGAGTAAAGAGACTTGCCAGTAACGAGATTTAACTAGGTATTGGATACCGACGATCGAATCTCGGGCAAGTAACATGCCGATGACAAAGGGAACAATGTATGGTGTTATGCGGTTTGACCGATAAAGATCTTCGTAGAATATGTAGGAGCCAATATGAGCATCCAGGTTCCGCTATTGGTTATTGACCGATAATAGTTCTAGGTCATGTCTACATTGTTCTCGAACCCGTAGGGTCTGCACGCTTAAGGTTTCGATGACAGTTATATTATGAGTTTATGAGTTTTGATGTACCGAAGGAGTTCGGAGTCCCGGATGAGATCGGGGACATGACGAGGAGTCTCGAAATGGTCGAGACGTAAAGATCGATATATTGGACGACTATATTCAGAGTTTGGAAAGGTTCCGAGTGATTCGGGTATTTTTCAGAGTACCGGGTAGTTACGGGAGAAGCAATGGGCCTTGATGGGCTTTAGTGGGAAGAGGAGAAAGGGCCAAGGGGCTGCTGCGCCCCCCCTCCCCTCTAGTCCGAATTGGACTAGGGAAAAGGGGGCCGGCCACCTTTCCTTCTCCTCCACTTCCTTCTCCCTTCCTCCCCTCTTGGTGGACTCCTACTAGGACTTGGAGTCCTAGTAGGACTCCACATCCTGGCCGCACCTATTGCCTTGGCCGGCCTCCTCCTCCTCCATCCTTTATATACTGAGGCAAGGGGCACCCCATAACAACAGAAGTTGATCTACGGATCGTTCCTTAGCCGTGTGCGGTGCCCCCCTCCATCATATTCCACCTCGGTCATATCGTCGCGGAGTTTAGGCGAAGCCCTACGCCGGTAGAACATCATCATCGTCACCACGCCGTCGTGCTGACGGAACTCATCCCCGACACTTTGCTGGATCGGAGTCCAGGGATCGTCATCGAGCTGAACGTGTGCTGAACACGGAGGTGCCGTACGTTCGGTGCTTGGATCGGTCGAATCGTGAAGACGTACGACTACATCAACCGCGTTGTCATAACGCTTCCGCTTACGGTCTACGAGGGTACGTGGACGAACACTCTCCCCTCTTGTTGCTATGCCATCACCATGATCTTGCGTGTGCGTAGGAAATTTTTGAAATTACTACGTTCCCCAACAGTGGCATCCGAGCCAGGTTTTATGCGTTGATGTTATATGCACGAGTAGAACACAAGTGAGTTGTGGGCGATACAAGTCATACTGCTTACCAGCATGTCATACTTTGGTTCGGCGGTATTGTGAGATGAAGCGGCCCGGACCGACATTACGCGTATGCTTACGCGAGATTGGTTTCACCGTTACGAGCACTTGTGCTTAAAGGTGGCTGGCGGGTGTCTGTCTCTCTCACTTTAGCTGAATCGAGTGTGAATACGCCCGGTCCTTGCGAAGGTTAAAATAGCACTAACTTAACGAACTATCGTTGTGGTTTTGATGCGTAGGTAAGAACGGTTCTTGCTAAGCCCGTAGCAGCCACGTAAAACTTGCAACAACAAAGTAGAGGACGTCTAACTTGTTTTTGCAGGGCATGTTGTGATGTGATATGGTCAAGACGTGATGCTATATTTTATTGTATGAGATGATCATGTTTTGTAACAGAAGTTATCGGCAACTGGCAGGAGCCATATGGTTGTCGCTTTATTGTATGAAATGCAAACGCCCTGTAATTGCTTTACTTTATCACTAAGCGGT